ATTGTGTGCATGTGTGAGAGCTCGCAGACACACTGCAGAACGGCGCTTTGCCTAGCCACCGTAGACAGAGGTACTGAGACCGCGGAACCAAGGATCCTGGGTGAACCCCATGTGCCCAACCACTTGACTCCTTCGCCCAAAAATTTCGTGCTGCGAAGTCAGTACGTACCGTATGCTTGCGGATCTTTCTATGTCTAGGACGGGCTAAAGTTTCATTCCACTGACAGATCCTGGTCTGTGCCTTTGAAACTAAAGTTTTGTCATTCTGAGAAAAGGGAGCAATGCCCGAAAAAGGACACACTTTGACCGCTGCTGCATTCCATTCTGCATAATAGTCCGCTCAGACTGCTTAACACCGTTATGTTGTTGACTAATTTTTTAAGGAACTCATCTCGAAAGGTTCGCTATGGTTTGATCCGTTCTTCATGTTGTGTATAATGAGAGATATCGCTGAGGTACTACACTTTTTACAAGAGTCGCGATATAGAGCAAACACTTCCTGAATACAGGGTCTCCGATATCTGCACGGCTCATTCATCGAATCGCATGGTCGTCTCCGTTCAGAGTGTTGTTTGGTGACTGACAGCTGGCAGGTGAAAATTTGCGATTACGGTATCGGATCATTGCGAGAAGATGAACGTCTCAAGAAAAAACGTAAGCACTTTGAAGACATACAGACATATAGCATTAGTCAAAAACGATAACGAGGACATGCATAGTAACTCTGAATGGAGCTTCAGCTGAATCCTAAAGGCAGCGTGCATGATACGTTGTCTTTAGGATTCGGCTCAAGCTAGCGGCGGGAGGGGGAGGGGTGCACCGTTTCAGTTTTGGAGGGGCCTTCTTAACCCAACAACGCCACACCTCGCCTCCTCCTTTGATGGAGCGAACCGGCGTGTTTTCCTGGTGAAGACCCACTCTACGTATTCGATGCCTTCAAATTTAGCCATCTTTTTGTAAACTACGACAATTTTTTATCATAAAGGTTTAAATTAGACACGACGCGTAATCCACCACGTTGCACGTCATGGGATGTGCGCGAGGATTTCGTCCACTGATTCACTTAAGTCGACATTAGGCTCCCTTTGTAAGCCCTAGCGCCATTGTCGAGAGCGCCATTGCAACAACGGCACATCTGAGATACTCGTGGGATATCAAATACACATGATAGATTAAAACCGAGCGGAAGCGGATGGAATCTAGCCTGAAAGGGCAAGCCAGATATTCGTGATCGATCAGGCCAAATTTGATAATTCTGGCAGCACCGCTCCGTATCACAGCAGGTTGTGATTTTGCGCGCAACAGTGTGTGGCGCGAACTGGCACTCTTGTATGTGGCATCCGATATAAGATTAACTGAGAATGAAACCAAAATATTCACGACTGCAGTGTTGATTTCACCGTCGATAGTAAGATCCGGCCGTGGTGGTGCATGACCTCCCTTTTTCAGCATATATAGCAGTTCTGAAATAACAAGCATGGATTAGATGTATTCGGGATTTCATCTGAAATTTCACTTTCTCACCATCAGTTCGTTCCTTGCGCTCGTGCAAATTCCATGCTGGCTTTCGTGTCACGACTTCTGAGGCGATTATAGCGAATGAGTAGATGTCGCCCTCCTTCGACGATTTCGAGGAGGTATCGGGAGACCGAAGATGTTCGGGAGCCACCCATAGCAGACCTTAGGCAAAGATTTAGATCAAAATTTTCGAATATGTTATTGGCACTGCTTCTTGTCCAAAATAGTTTTTAATAATCGTACTCTGCGTTTCATAAATATAGGTCCACCCTAAATTTTTGCTACCCCAAAGTTGCTGTGCATTTTTTGGAAATGCTGCTATCACCGTTAGATTCCTCATCACGGAAAACCTTCATAGTGTTTTTCTGACAAAATTCCCCCTCAAGTAACCCAATTAACTTTTTTAGAACGAATTTTCACCGTTTCATGAATATCGGGCCACTCATAAAAAGTTTCCATTTCTCACGATCCGTGAAGGGAATCAGGGAAGCGGGGAAATATGTGGGCTCAGTCGACATCGAGTTTACCATACCTCGTGTTATTCGCCTCTCTTCCCAGTAACAAGCTCAAGCTAGAGCACTTACTGAAGTGGGATAGCTGAGGAGCAGAATTTCCTCCCATGTCGGCCGGCTCATACTGCATAAGCGACTATGTGCAAAATCCTGGTCAGTGCGGAGAGAAGAGTCGCTTAGGTAAATAAAGACTGCGTTTCCTTCAAAATTTAGGAGGAATTGGGTGTCTTCTCTCGAATTATACAAGGAGTCCCGAACAAAGTCCGTACTGAAATGCGGCCTTCCGTGAGCAAAACCACCGTGTGGTGAGTAAGCCAGCAGAGCAATAACATCTTCAACGGATTGATGAAGAGCGTTCCAAGATTATTTGAGCGCTACAAGATCGCAAGTCTCCATTTCTCCGTGGAAAAGGGCTCAACTTAATGAGCGATGGTGTGGCTGTTAAGACCCTTCGCGATCTTGGACTCTACCTCCTTGTTTCGTTCTACAGGTGGTCTGAGATCGACGTGGAAAAGTTTATTCTAGGTGGATATGGCAGAAAAAGAGGGTACAGGATGATCGCGTGAAAATCGCAGATGGTTTCAATGTAACGTAATTTCGGCGGTGAATCCCTTATGGTTTGAGGCACCTTTGAACGACTGAGTAGCTAGAGCTCGCTTTTGTTTCCGTTCACAAAGATTCCACAGGGTATCGTGAAGTTCTTTCGAAGCGAGTCTTACCATTTTTTCAACAAGGATCCCCTCTATCCTTGATTTTCACACACGATAACGCGGCTGTCCATGCCGGTCCCTCCGCGCCAGATGGAATTGCAGGAAAAAATGTGGCAGTTATCTGGTGGCCACCATGTTATCTGAATTAGATTCCAATAGAGAATCATTGGGCCTTAATTGTTATAAAGTTCCACAGCAAAGTAAAGCAAAATGGAACAGCCGAAAAGCTGAAAAGGTCGATCATCGGCGCCCAGACGAATTTCGATCCTACTGTAATAGCTAATTTGGCTACCAGCATTTCAAAACGTATTATTGTTCTTCTTCTTCTTCTCCCTAGCGTTAGTCCCGCGCCGTCGCAGGGTCCGCTGTTCTTATCAGTCGTCGCCACTTCGCTCTGTCCAGGGCATCCCCTGCAGTGGCCATGATTTCGCTTAGGTCCTTCTTGACTACGTCCTTCCACCTCTTCTTTGGGGCTCCTCGCGGTCGCTTGCCTTGCGCTTCGAAGTCCATTGCATTCCTTATTGGGTGGCCTGTGGTCTTCTTAGCACATGCCCATACCACCGCAGTCGCTGCTCCCTCACCTTCAGCTGGACAGGGGCAGTCTGCATGACCGTTCTGACATCCTCGTTCCTGACCCTGTCCAGTCGCGTCCAGCCGCAGGCCCATCTCAGCATCCTCATTTCGGCCGAGTGAAGCTGCCTTTCGTGATTGTTCAGGGGCCAGCACTCGCAGCCGTAGAGCATCGCAGGCCTTACCACTGTTCGGTACACCTTCCCTTTGAGCGTTCTAGAGCACCTTCGGTCGCAGAGGATTCCAGTGGATTCCCTCCATTTCATCCATGCCGCGTTGATCCTCCCCTTTACTGCCTGGTCCACACTGCCGTCGGCCGCCAGATCACTCCCAAGGTATCGGAAGTCCTCCACTCTTTCGATGCTTTCGCCATGTCCATCCACGATCGGCTCTGCACTCTCTTCAGAGCTCAGGAACTTGGTCTTCTTGACATTTAGCCGGAGCCCCCCTTCTGCCAGGACCTTCTGCCACTTCTGCACCTTGGCCTGTAGTTCTTCTCTGCTATCAGCTATCAGGGCGATGTCGTCAGCGTAGAGGATGGTCTTTAGTGGTCCTTCTATGAGCCCCTTCACCATGACATCTAGTGTTAGGAGGAAGAGGAACGGACTCAGAGCTGACCCTTGATGCACCCCAACCGTGATGTCCACTTCCTTCGTTAGGCCGTGTGGGGTGCGTATAGCTGCCTTCGCCCCGTCGTACATGTCCTTCACCAGCGAGACCAGGTGTTCTGGCACGTTCCGTTCTCTAAGCGCTCTCCATAGTACCGCTGTAAGCCGTCAAGCCTTCCAGGTCGAGGAAAGCTAGGTAGCAGGGTCGGCGCTTTTCTCGATACTTCTCCATCACTTGTCTTGCGATGAAGATGGCATCCGTCGTAGACCTTTCGGGCATGAACCCGAACTGTTCCTGGGAGATGGGGACCAGCTCCCGCAGTCTCGAGTCGACCAGTCGCTCGTACAGCTTCATTGTATGAGCAGTCAACTTGATCCCGCGGTAGTTGGAGCAGTCCATCGCGTCACCCTTCTGCTTGAAGATGGGGACGATAGTACTTGTTCTCCAGGCATCTGGCATCCTTCCTTCCGCAGTTATGTTGTTGAGGAATCGTGTGAGCCATCTTATCCCGTACTCACCGAGCGCCTTCCAAGCCTCGATTGGCACCCCATCTGGGCCAACCGCCTTCCCAATCTTCATCCTCCCAAGTGCACACCTAACCTCATCCTCAGTCCAGAGTGCGATGGGACCAGCTGTGGCCTCTGCCCGTGAGTTGTTCTCGTGGGGGAACTCCTCGTTCAGAAGTGCACTGTAGTACTCTTCCCACCTCCTCTTGACTTCGGCTGGCTTCCTTAGGATGACACCATCTCTGCCTTTCACACTTTTCACCACCCTGATGTCTTGGGTAGCACGATGCCGGGCCTTAGCCAGCCTGAAGACGAACTTCTCTGCGTTTCTGCTTTCCAACTTCTCGTACAAGGCGTCCATCTCCGTGTTCTTCGCCTTGGCTAGAACTCGTCCTTATCACTTCGGGGCACCCGGCTTGCGGTGCGTACACGGAGAGTATTGACCAGTACCCCTCCTTCGTGTCTATCCTCACAGCCATGATCCGATCGCTGATCCTGTTCACAGCGGAGACATAGTCCTTGAGCGACTCCGCTACCGCTATGGCCACGCCGTTCCGCTTGGTGTCTTCTCCATTGTAGTAGAGCTTGACACCTTCCCCGATTTCCCTGGCCTTAGCACCTTTCCATCGCGTCTCCTGAAGGCATAGGACTTGGATATTCCTGCGCGTCATCAGATCAGCAACCTCTCGGGACTTCCCAGTTAGCGATCCCACGTTCAGAGTCCCTATTCGAACTAGCTTCTTTGGCCGAGGCCGTTCACTCCTCGGTAGCCCTCGCATACTGACCACAGAACTCGGGCGGGGGTTCTGCGCGCCACTTCCGGGTGACGTCCTAGCTTTATCACTGATTCTTTGACAACTTTTAGACATGTTGGTGTGACTGGGGTATTCATCAGCCGGCCTGTCAACCTGGGCCTGACGCTGGTACTAGAACCATTTTTGCAATTTTTGCAAGGCATGGTTTAAGCCTCGGCAGGGATCGAACTCGCGGTTTTCGGAGGTGCAGACATGAGTCTAACCTCTTAACCACTCGGCTATCCCTGCCTTCAAAACGTATTATTGTGTTCCTTATGATTATTGGGGGGTCATCCCATTATTGAAAATTCGTGACGTTTTTTCGTTATAGTAAAATCTCTCGACAAGTGATGTGTAGTCATATTTGCGAAACGGTGAAAATACGTTCTAAGGAAGATATTTTAATAATTCTGAATCGAGATTTCTCCAGAAATCAAGTATCAAGGTTTTTCGTTATGGGGAAACTATTGGTAATAGCGGCATTTTCCAAAAATGCACAGCAACTTTGAATAGCAAAAAATTAGGGTGGACCTATATTTATGAAACGCAGTGTATATTTTTAATCATAGTTTGTTTTCTTCGCACCGCACACTTTGCAAGTGTTCCCACATTGTGATCGTTGTTGAAAACATCTGGATGCGGATCAAAATTGGGAACTGTAGAGCCACGAACCGATGTTGTACGGTGCTGAAATGATCCTTGGAAATTCGGTCAATTGGGTCAGGGAACGCTTTCCAAAAAATGGGCGACGCAGCGACGAATTGTCCACACTTCGTCCAAAGCATAAGAGGGAGGAGGCCAAATAGGGTTGGGTAGAGCATGAAAAAGGCCATGTGAAACTACGCCTACGATGGGACTTTGCAAGTTTCCCTACAACAAAATGCTATGCCTCCAGAAAAAATCAGCGAAATCAGAGAAGGGCCGAATGCAAACTTGACCACATATCTGCGCGACTCGAGTCAAGATCACCCCACGAGTAAGTTTATGCTTAGCAGCCGTCTTTCGCGCTCGGTATCGTGCACAGCTAAACAGGTGCATGAAATACTATCAGCCAGAGCTAACAAGGATTATGATTCAATTTTCAATCTTCAATACAATACGAATAGAGTGGGTTAAACACGCAGGCAGACCAACGGTCGGTCACTCTTCACAAGGAGGAGGCGAGGTGTGGCGTTGTTGGGTTAAGAAGGCCCCTCCAAAACTGAAACGGTGCACCCCTCCCCCTCCCGCCGCTAGCTTGAGCCGAATCCTAAAGACAACGTATCATGCACGCTGCCTTTAGGATTCAGCTGAAGCCTCTTGCCAACGTTAACCATTTTGAATAATGCGTAGTATGCTGTAATGCCTTTGAAGTGCTTACGTTTTTTCTTGAGGCGGTCATCTTCTCGCAATGATCCGATACCGTAATCGCAAATTTTGACCTGCCAGCTGTGTTACACCAAACAACACTCTGAACGGAGACGACCATGCGATTCGATGAATGAGCCGTGCAGATATCGGAGACCCTGTATTCAGGAAGTGTTTGCTCTGTTTGCCCTATCGCGGCTCTTATAAAAGTGTAGTACCTCAGCGATATCTCTCATTATACACAACATGAAGAACGGATCAAACCATAGCGAACCTTTCGAGATGAGTTCCTTAAAAAATTAGTCAACAACGTAACGGTGTTAAGCAGTCTAAGCGGGCTATTATGCAGAAAGGAATGCAGTAGCAATCAAAGTGTGCGCCGAAAAGCCTTTTTCGCGCATTGCTCCCTTGTCTTAGAAGAAAAATTCAAAATTCAAAGTTCCCACATTCAGGCAGTGGCAGGACCCTCCAGCGCTAGAAATAGAGGGGCCGGCATGCATACAGTTTTTACTGACCTCGCGGCGTGGATTTTCTGGGCCAAAGAGCTAAAGCGTTAGGACGTACGCGGAGATCCACCCAGCACTCTTGATTCCGCGGTCACAGGACGTCTGTCAAGCTTGAAGCTAGGCAAACTGGCATTCTGTAGTGCTGTCTGGAAGCTTTCACACATGCACACATTGCAGCATTTTTGCTATCTTAGTTTCCTTTGAGGCCCAATTTGTAACCACACAAAGCGTACACTTTCACCCTCTGGTTGACAAAACTTGTAACCTTGTTTTGCACACAAGTTGACGTCATAAGCCAAATCTCTCGCTCGTATCCACGCTCTCTTTTCACCTCGTTCCTTACTATACGGTTTTCAGGATCTCTTATCGCGATAGTCGCCTCTTAGAACCCTCTACAGCCCGAAAAAAGCGGCTTTTCAGAGTTTTTGGTCATCTATCCTCTACCATCGGTCAATTTCGCATTTTTAGTTTCGAGCAGAATAAGCAACCAGATTGATCATGGAATGTGCAGTTGAGATTTTCTTTCGTGATCTTTTGAACCCTAATGAGTCAGGTTTTGAAGAGTCCTGAGATCTTAGGATGGAGGTGATCAAACATGAAGATGTAATGAGCGAAAAGTCATTTCATACTCATTATTCTTCATATATATCGCAGACCCGCGATTCGCTGATTTGAGGGTCAAATTGGTGCCGGGTGGTCAAATCGATAATTCATCTGATCGAGCGCTAACAGAACGCTTTATAAAGACGGCGCAGCGAGCCAAGCAACTCCTTTTTCGATTCTCTCTCTTTTTTGCGAATCTTGCGATTCCTCCCCCCCTCAAGCGATTTGACGATCATGCGAACATGCGAAATTATTCTC